GTGACAGTGACAGTTTGTTAAAGACATTTACAATTAAATGATGACATTTGAGAAGCTATGAGATCTTGCCTACTTGACAACTTCCCAGTACCCAGGAAAAGCATGATGATCCCTTCTCATTACCATCACGGTTCATTCCCAGGAGCCAGCTGGTGTGTACTCCTCTGAGCCAACTGTGCGCAATTCTTCTCAACTCCATGTTCGGTTGACCTACATTGTGGTCGCTTGAATTTTGAAGTGCTGAGAGTATTTATACCATGGAAATGAGCCTGTGCCACAAGTCAGGCTTCCTCTGGAGCTGGTGGTTAAGCATTTACGAGCATATTAGTGTTTGTTCTTCACTCCACCGCCAGGGTCCTTTTAGTTGCTTTCTTCCTTGACCGCTGTTAGAGCACAGTGAAGGCAGGAAAGTTGGGGAGTCAGACATCTGGATTGGAATATAGCTTTTTCTATGTAATAGCTCTGTGACCTTAAACAAGGTATATAAGTTCTCTGATACCCAGTTTTCTCCTAGTAAAATGAGGTTGATAGAGGACCCACCTCGGCGTTGTGAGAATGATATGAAATGACGTATGGTAAGCACCTAACGGTGCCTGTACATAGTAAATGTTGAATAAGTGCTATCTATTAGATCATTTTTTTGGTAAGTTCTGATAGTCATTCATTCAAAAAGTACACATGGAATGACTACTTACAAAGCAATTTTGATTCTGCCTGCATGGTTTTATTTTTTATTTATTTTTCTAAGATTTTATTTATTTATTTTTATAGAAGGGGGTGTGAGGGAGAAAGGGAGAGAAACATTGATGCCAGAGAGACGTTGCTGCTCATCCCCAACCAGGGACCTGCCCTGCAGCCCAGGCATGTGCCCTGACTGGGACTCAAACCAGTCAACCTTTGGGTTCACAGGCCGACGCTCAATCCACTGAGCCACACCAGCCAGGGCTGATTCTGCCTGCATGGTTTTAAATGTACAGATAAACAAGAATAAGATACCACCCTGAAATTCTGAGCTTTCAGATTTCACGGTTGATGTCAAATGGACTGTACCTCTGAGCCCTTGACATATGTCTTGATTTGCTGTGAATGGACAGGTAGTTTCTGAGAATGGTCCTCTTATGTCCTGTTAGAACACCTTTGTCCCGCAACTGCCCATCCCCCCTAAATATCCTCCTTAGTCTTCTGTTTCTTTCCCTTTCTCCACAAATAAGCAAACAATTTTTCTGGCATGTGGCAGATTATTCTAGACCTGTCCTCTTGCATGGGTCACCTGGTAGCTGCTTTTTTATACCCTAAGGTCAAGGATAGAAGGCTTGATTTCCCTGTGAGAATGAGTTTTTGAACAAAAGTTCTGCCCAAGGACACTGAGCTGTCACCTTCTTCCCATGACTGGTTCCAGTGCCCTCCTCTTGCCCACTAAGCAGCCTGTTGTGCTCAGAAGGCATCTTCCTTGGGCAGCCTTCTCCACCTCAACATTCCTTTAGTGAGAAACATGGTTATTTTGTAGGAAAAAATGGTGTTAAATTCTGAACACTTCAGATTAAAATAGTTGAGAATAGAGGCATTTGTTGTAAGGGGGAGTATTAACCTTTTTATACTCTTTAAATACATATGTATATATTTGTGTTTTATATTGTGTACCAGTTTAATTATTCATGTGTTCCTACCAGAACAGAAGTCCCAGGGAGGGCAGGGAACCTGTTCACAAACCCAAACCCAGCACATACATGGCCTCATGGTGCGGGCAAGGGCTACTCTAGGGCTGTCTGCCCTGCACCCAGAAACTTCTGAAGCTTCTTGGCTCTCCCAGCCTGGATGGGCATTGGGAGTGACCATGTCAGTAGCCGAGTGACTAGAGATAGGCCTCTCCTTTCTGTGTCTCCATCTCTTCCACTGGGTAATAGAACCAGGCCCAGGCAGAGTGCGGGGATATCCGACCCCAGCAGCCTCCTGGGCCAGCAAGGTGCCCGCAGGGCCAGTTGCAGGGTGGCAGAAAACCATCCACCCTGCGCGGCCCCAAGATGCCAAGAGCCAAGTGCCAGGTGGCCAAGGTTGCGGGCGGGGAGTTCAGAGCAGCTCCACCCTCCAGGGTGCCCCACAGTCTGGCCACCACAGGGAGGGGTGGGGACAGCGTAGCACCAGCTGAGGCTCATTTGTGCCAGCGAGCAAAGGTCAGGATGTAGGGGCCTGAGGTGGGTCCTGGGTCTGAGGCTTAAGGCGAGGATGCCGTTCAGCCCTGGGAGGGGGAGCGTTTCAGCGGTGGGGTGGGGTCGTCAGGCAGCTGCAGCAGAAGCAGCATCCAGGCTTGCAGACGACCCAGGGTGCACCGTGTCGGTGCGGCCAGCTGGGGTTGTCAGGCCACTTGAGGTGTAGACCTCCAGGCAGGCGACAAAGGCCACAGTGTGCACCGTGAGGCTCTGCTCTTGCACACCATGCGCAGGAGCACTTGCGGGCCAAGCGCGAACACTGCCATGAGTGTGAACACAGCCATGTCCTTGCCGGTGTGGGTCTTGTAGGACAGGGGCACGGCCACCTGCGGTTGGTTCTTGGAGTCTGTGCTCTGGCTGTCGCTGACATTGGACCAGGAGCCCCCGCTGGGTACAAAACCTGGACCACTGCTATAAAGGATGGAGGTGTAGGCCTTGCCATTTGAGGCCTCCTTTGGAGCCAGCCTGAAAATGGAGCTGTCCGGCAGCGGGTGACCACCAAAAGTGAAGATATGAAAGTGGTCAGTGGTGATGAGGGTCAGTGTGCCCTTCTCGCTTGTGAGCTGGCCGGCCGGCCCTGTCAAAGGCGTCATGAAACTGTTAGTCTCGGTCAGCGTCAGGTAAGCTCTGCTCACCTGATGGTCATGGTCGATGAGGACCCCCTAGCAAAGATGGAGGAGCCTCGGAGTTCCTGCTCAGCAGGCGCAAGGCCGCCTCTGTCATCTCCGTCAGGGTTGGGTCCTGCTCAGGGTCTTGTGAGCCTCATACTTCGTATCCCCTGGCTCTGAATGAGCGCTATTTGGTTCCACACACCGGGCACCCTGGGGCTTGGCCTGCCCCTCCTGAACCAGGTTCTGCCTGTCCATCCTGACTGCGCTCTGCCTGGTATCACCAGGGTGCTCAGGATCTGTGGTTCCCTTGGGAAGCATGCACTTGCACCCCCCGACCTAGGGTCATGTCAGTGTGCATGTTGGAGATGTCCTGACAGCCCTCCTTCAGTGCCTGGCAGGCTTGTCGGCATCAGGACCAATTTTGGCTCCCTGTGTGTGTGTAGGTGCCAGCCGGGAAGGCATGCTGCATCCCTGGGTGCTCACCACCCCGCTGATTTCCCTGCTTTCTTGGCCCAGTTCATCACAGAGGTGACTTCATTGCCATGTGTTGTGTTGCACTGGTTAAATCAGGTGGCTGCATTCACACCAATGATCTGGTAGTTGGTGGTGACCCCACACGGGTAGGCGGTGGCCATGCCTGTGCTGTCTGGCGCGTGTCTGTCCACATTGTATGTCTTGGCCAGAGCCATCCATGTATGGGAATGAATCCATGGTCGGGGTGGGTGGTCTCAGGTTCTCATTCATCTGTCCCTTTAGGATCTGAGCTGCTGTCATGGTGGACACCTCCATCCCATCCTCCGAGAAGATAATGAGGTTCTTGGCAGCCATGAGGGTGGGCTGCAGCTCCTTGGTGGTGTCCGGGGCCTAGGCTGTCTGGTGGTGGTTCCAGGAGGCTGGGTCTTCCTCCTCAACTGGGATGATGCACAGGGAGAGCCACAGCCTCAGCCGCAGCCGCAGCAGCAGCAGCACCCACACCCAGGCTCTCTGCTTGCCGGTGGGATGGTGGAAAGGTGGTGGCGCGGTCACTCTAGAGGGGCTGGGACACTGATGAGACTGGAACTTGGGCAAGGCTAAGACACGAGAGGACCAGCTGCACTGCAAAGTCTACTCTTCAAATATTGTGCTTATAAAGACGTCTGCTTTCTTTGCACACCGGCTTGGGGAATTCTTCACACACTTTAAAGTGCACCTTTTCAGTGTGATCAGTCTTTCAATACTTAAATTTCAGAGCTGTTTTAAAACATGGAAACACTCCAGATGGGTATGAGTTGTTTCATATTGGGAGGTCTTTGGCCATCAGTTTTCAACTGTTGCTTTATACGGGCAGCTTGAAAATGTAAAAATTTAAACCTTGATATTGATCAATAGAAAACAGATCCTATCAAACACTATATTCAGCTCATTTAATTACTGAATTGGTAAACTGCACCTGAAAAATGTTTTCTAGAAATGATTTTTGTTAAATAATTTATCACAATGAATGTATACCCTCCAAACACTATTTTTCCATAAAATACTGATAAATATCAAAATATTGCTCAGCTTTAATTATATTTTTAGCACTGTAAACTTGTGCATAAATCAGTTTGTTAAAAAAATTTGATGTGTTATGTGTATTTAATATTCCAATGTAGATTTTTCAAAGATGACTTTAGACCATTTTTCCAAAAGTAGTCATGCTCAATTCTTCACCAAGAATGGACACATATCTATCAGGTTTATAGGGTTTGATTATTTCAGAAACACCACTTTTATTCACTTTAAGCATTTCATAGCTTTTTAAAAAAGATTGTATTTATTTTTAGAGACGGGAAGGGAGGGGGAGAGAGAGAGAGAGACATCGATATGAGAGAGAAACATCAATTGTTTGCCTCTTGCATGCCCCCAACTGGGAACCTAGCCCACAACCCAGGCATGTGCCCCAATGGTGAACAGAACCAGCGATCTTTCAGTTTGTAGGTTGGTGCACAATCCACTGAGCCACACCAGCCAGGGCAGCATTTCCAGATATTTTCAGGGCCAAAATGAAAACATTTTAGAATGAAATCAGACCAAATCTTTGGAATTCAAAGTGACTAAACACCCAGAAAAGACACATTATGAAACCTGCCAATTACATTCCTGCCCATAGGTCTGAACTGAATTCCTTTTTAATAATTCAGATATTTCTTCTCTTTCTCAGTGATACAGGAACAACACCTCCGGAGAGTGGAATTTTTGGATTTATGATAAACTTTTCCGCATTTCTTGGTAAGTACACAATAATTATTATAAATGAAAAATTCACAGTCTCATGGGAAGGGAAATATGTTACTTATAGTGTATGTATAATTGTTATCATTATCTTTTTAATAGATTTTATTTTTTAGCAGTTTAAGGCTCACAGCAAAATTAATCCAAAGGTAGAGATACTCCATATAGCCCCTGCTCCCCTCCCCCAGACCCCCCCCATTATCAGCCTCACCCCCCAGAGTGGTACATTTGTTGATAAACCTACACTGACACATCACAATCACCCAAAGTCCATAGTTTACATTGGAGTTCATTCTTGGTATGTATCATGTTTTAAAAGTACAGCCTTTGCACCCTTTCTGGTGTGGCTCAGTAGATTGAGCACTGGCCTGTGAACCAAAGGGTTGCAGGTTCGATTCCCAGTCAGGTCACATGCCTGGGTTGCGGGCCTGGTCCCCAGTAGGAGGCACGTGAGAGGCAACCACACATTAATGTTTCTCTCCCTGTCTTTCTCCCTCCCTTCTCCTCTGTGTAAAAATAAATAAAATCTTTAAAAAAAAAAAAGTACAGCCTTTACAACTAGAATTTTGTTTTACTCTGAAAAACTAATATGACCTGAAATCCAAAGTTATTTATGCCCTTGTAGAGCTATTTGTCAATTCACCTGGCAGTTTACCACAAGATTATCCAATGGATTTTAAATGTAATTTGATTTTTAAAATTGTGATTTTTATCCAATATACTCATGAAAGCCAAAGACACCCAGTGTATAAGCTAATGTTTCTCAGAGTGTGTTCTGAAGGCAACTTGCATGAAAATGACCTGGGGCGCTGGTGAAAATGCAAGTTCCACAGCCACACCACAGATTTACTCAATTAGAACCTCTGGGAGTGTGGCCCAAGCACATGCATTGTGAACCAGCTGTCTAGGGGACTTGGATACTCACTAAAGCTTGAGAACCACTGACTAAGATGTTGTCTCACCTGTTGGAGAGAGGGGAGAGGGAAAGTAGAGAAGTTTGTCTCCAACTCAGGCACGATTTTTCTTTTCAATTCCTCCAGTGCCCCTGGGGTGCAGATGATAGGGTACATCTATAGCTCTGAGATAAGGGGCTCTTTCTCTTAGTCCTTTCATGAACCCCCACCCTACAGAACAATTAAGTGTTTGCCAGGGGCCTGTTACATAACTAGCACTTACATCCCTCTCTATTGGTGTAGGTGGGAAGGGACAGAGATGCTGGAAGCTCTACTTAGTGACTTGGCACCTTTGGAATTTTTTCATCCTACTTGGTAGAGAGGAAGTTTTACCCCATCACCCATCGGTGGTCTTCTCTGCCCGAGGTTGTGGCGGTGAGCAAGGGGAAGTAGGGATAGTCCATCAATCCAAGTGCCCTCCTATGAGGGAGGCCCCGTCCCTCAGAGTCCCGCCGGCGGCCGAAGAGGAAGAAATAAACTGTATCAGATACGATTTGCCTGTCAGGAGAGGTGATTCCCTCCAGTGGGGAATGCCCCGAGCCCTTCTCTGAAATGGCTTTTTTTGAGAATGATATGTGATATGTGTAGGGGTATATGGCAAGCATGCAAAGCTTATCAATCAATGCCTAAAGGCTATATTTACAGAAAACAGATAGAGACCACAGATAACAATTGAAGGAACACAGATTTGCCTCAGATCAGGGTCTGGTATACAGGGTGATGCCTATTCAGCTCTAGAACCTGGGTAAATAAACTCATCCTAGGCTCGACCAGGTACTCTTTAATTTGAGGGCATTCTTAGCAAAGTAGGTTTCAGGGGATTTAATGCATTCCTTTTCCAGGCCTAATTGCCCCCAGGAACTGCCTGATCCAGATCAGGGCTGTACCTGCCTCTAGTATTGTTTCAAGCCTGAGCCAGGTGGGTGGAGCAGGGCAGCCAAGAGATAAGGGGACTTCTTTCAGATAGAATGAGGACTCTGACCTTGACAAAGCTGAGGGGCGAGGGTCTTTTGCTCCTTCTCTGTATCCCCCAAGTCCTTCCCTGATGACCCCTATGCAACTGTGCCTGTCTTAGGTCGCCTCTGCCATTGAGGGGGTCTTAACCATCATTGACTGACCAGCCATTGTCTGGGGCCAAGCGCAGTGATGTGAGGGAGGCAGGGGCTGCGCCTCTGCCAGAGGGACTGGTTTTGTCTCCTCAGTGGTCTGTTTTCCCAAGGCCTCCTTGCTCAGCTCCAGCCTTGGGGCCCTCTCACTTATCAGTGAGGCTACAGTCCTTGAAACCAGGCAGGACGATTCCCAACACTTTTACACCATCCTTGCCCAGCATCCAGATTTAGAAGACAGATTATTTTGTTACCAGAAAGTGATAAATAGATTTTTGCTCCTAGGCAAGGCAGGACCCTATATGAGTATCTTTGTTTAAAAGTCTATAATAAATGATTAGCTTTTGGCCTGCTTTTTAAAATCCAGGACAAATATTATGGCCATCACACTATTTCAATACATAGAAATCTACTTTATCCTTTTAACACATGCATGTTATCAATTTCGTGGATGTATTATAATTTATTTAATCAGTCTCCTATTGTTAAACATTTAGGCTATTTCTGATTTTGGAATTTGCAATGCTAAAGTGAACATCCTTTTAAACATATCTTTGCATATGTATGCGAGTTTCTCTATAAGGTCAGTTTGCTGAACTAAAGAGAATACAGATTTAAAATTTTGATAGCTATGCATTTATTTAGCATTCATTGACTCAGTGCTTACTGCTGGGGTCTCAACAACAGGCAGACAAGGACCTCACTGACATGGAGATAGTGTTATTGTCAATTTATTCTACAAAACAATAAATAGCATTTGGTTAATCGACTAGCTTTTTTTGAAAAACAAGCCTTTAGTACCTTCCCTTACACCATGCATAAAAACCAATGTTAAAGAATCAAACATGAAAATTAAAACTATAAGAGGATTAAATTATAGGAAAATAATTTTAAAACTATAGGATAAAGAAGCTTCTCTGAGCTTACACAAAACCCAGGCGCTAAATAGGAAAGAATTGACATTTGAGTAGATAGAAAACTAAAACTTTCTAAGTGATGAAAGATACATGAAACAAAGTTAAAGACAAACCAGAAGAAAATTTCTAATATTTATAGCAGACAATAGACCAAGTAATGTACATAATATATAAAAAGCAACTACAAATTAAAAATGAATAGACTGACTCAAGAGAAAAACAAGAAAAAATTATAAACATGCAATTTTCAGAGTAAGAAGTGCGAATGACCAGTAGACATTCTGAAAGTTGCTTAATCTCACTAATGATCAGAGAAATGTAAAGTAAACCAATAGGTTGCCATTTTTTCATTCATTAGATTGGCAATAATTAAAAATGCATGAGCATACAGAATTGCTTTTAAATTCTGTTCTGGGAGTATAAATTGCTACAGTCTGGGAACAATTTTGAGATACTTCTCGGAATTTTATGTACAATTTTTTGAACCAGTAATACTACTTCTAGGAATTTGCCTTTCAGAAACACTGAAAGTGTGCCAAAAGATGTCCATTGAATATTGCTTGCAAAAGGACATACATAGAAAAAAGTAGAAATCTATCATGAGGAGGAGGATGAAATAAATGTGTATCTCAGTACCATGATGGGATCCCTGAAAACGTTGAGATGGACCTTTATATACTGACATGGCAAGATCTCCATGGTACATTTTTAAGTGAAAAAAAAAATCGTCACACGTGCATGATAACATTTGTGTGAGAAGGATAACAGCTGAAAAAATATGTGTGTGTTTGTGTGCACGCGCGCCCATCACACTGGGGAGAGAGCAAGATGGGTTGTGGTAGGACAGGGGTGGGCAAATGGGAAGACTATTGCAATTAGGAAATTGAAATACAAACCTCAAAAAAACCCAATACAAAGCTGCTTCTGTGTTCTTCACTCTAAACAGTCAAATACTAAAAATTCGCTATTGTACCTTTTTTTTTTCAGGTGCGGCCACAATGTACACAAGATACAAAATAGTGGAAAAGCAGAATCAAACCAGCTATTTCAGCACTCCTGTTTTTAACTTGGTGTCCTTAGTTCTAGGATTGGTGGGATGTATTGGAATGGGCATTGTTGCCAATTTTCAGGTATGACCTGAATTTTTTTTTGTTATTGGGGGTGACGGAGTTTGTGTGTCTGGAAGAGAGAGGGAAGAACACAAGAGCCATGCTTGTACCCGTACAGCTATCAAATAGTTGATTAGTTTTTAAAATTGGGGTAATTTGCTTTTAGAAACAAGTATCATTTGAAAGTCAGTTCTGTCTGGTACTTGGGAGTGATGGGGTACATGTGTGCATGATTATGAAAGACAGCGTGCTTTGAATGATGCTATCGGTTTTGCATTGCTCCATGTTCTTATTGATGCAGTTGATGCATTGGGAGAGCTACATCAACCGTTGTAATGATTTCACTAAGAGTGTGAAAATATGGTATGAGTGTGTGTGTATGTACTGATTCTATGGTTTGAACCTCTGGTGTTCAGTTCAAACAACAGCACCTGCTTTCTTCCTTTCACAGATGAGGATGTAGGCACATGGAAATGAAATAATTTGCTCAGGGTGCCTCAGCTAATTAGTTGCTGAGCCAAAATGTGGCCCCACTAAAGCCAATTATCTCACATCATGACTACTGCGGAGTCTCCTCAACAGAGACGTACTGTGTCAAGTGTTTGAAAGAAATTCTACTTGTTTTATTCTAATTGGTGGATTCCTGCTCATCCCGAAGTCTCTTTTCAGAAAGCATGGGACCTACTTATCTTTGGAGACAATGTTTAATATTTTTTGAAACATTTGTTGTGTTTAAAATTAGTACCAATTATAATAGTACTCACCTCCTAGGGTGATAGCAAGGATTGGATTGAGATAACGTTCAGTGACAAGTGGTCTGTACTTGGTGGCCATCACAGTCATCCCAGGTTCATCATTATAGGCTAACACTAGAGCGGTCCTGCGCTCTCCGTCACTGCTGTCTCCTACGACAGCAGAAAGGAAGTTCCTCAGGACGAGCTCTTGTCTGGCCCAGGGGTACTCCTTTAACTTTTCTCCCACCAGAAGTGGGTTGATCTTGTGTGATGCCTATTTTTACAAAAAGGTGTCAGCCTTCACCGCTGGCTGGCTGCTGATGTATTTGTCCTCACATTGATGGCGCTACACCCCAGTATTGATCTGTGAGGATAATAAATAAGCTCAGACCCCCCACTCGCACGCCATCTGCTTTCCACATTCACTAATGTCCGTTCCTCCAGGAAGGTGGACCATTGTCACAGAGTCCTCTGTCTTACCTGCCCCATGTCGGGTCATGGAGTCATCTTTTTTGCACTGCTCATGGGGATGCCATCTGTTAGTGGAGGGGGAGGAGGACATTCTAATAAAGTGCTCTGGGAACCTCCGTGTTGTGTCAGGAGATGTGAGGTGAGGGCGCCCTTCCTTAGGTTACACAGTATCTTCAGGACAGCCTGTGGGCTGGGATGTTCTCCAGTTCTCAGGAGTATCCATTTTTGAATATTACAAACCCACAATGATTAGTGACCTAGTTCTCATGGGAAGCTAGAAAGGTGAGAGCCAAATTTGTAGCTGCCCTGAAATAAGTGTATAGGGCTTCATGGAAGGCATTTTGTGAATTTGCTTCTGGCTCCATTTCACTTTCCTATTCTTGTGTTTTTTTACAAAGAAAAAAAAAATAGTTTTATGTTGAATTGTCCAATACAGACAGAGGGAGCTTATGCGCCAAACAAACCAACTCCCCGATGGTGTGTAGGTTATAGATTACATAGGGCAAAACCACAAGACGCTGTGGGTTAGGGGTTTGGGTTGTGCTGGGAGCTGGTTGGAGGAGAGGCAAAGGTCATGAATCATTTCCCCAGGCCTTGAAGACAGTTCTGAGGTCTGTTCTGGGATTCCCCCTGTCTCGTCTCATGGGAAAGTAGCCAGTGGGTCATTCCACCTGAGGGCTCAGGAGCCGAAACATAAGTTAGGTCAAGATGTTATCCTTAGGCAGCCAGAGGTCCATAGTGTGTGAACATTAGGTCTGCCTACTGTCTTCTGCTGCCTCTGGCATTGCTGACTGTCAGGGCAAAGGCTAGGTCTCTGTGGTATAGAGTAGCAATTTTCAACCCTTTTCATCTCATGGCACACAGAAACTAATTATTAAAATTCTGCAGCACACCAAAAAATATATTTTTTGCCTATCTGACAAAAAAAGGTGTAATTTTGAATTCATTCACATGGGAAGGTTTTTGTTGTAGTAGCTCTTGTCATTTTTTAAAAATTTGACAATATAAGGGAAAAGAGGTCCATGCCCCTGAGTGGACAGTCAAGTATCGCATATTTTAAAAATTCTTGTGGCGCGCCCGTGTGCCTGCCGTGGCGCACCGGCTGAAAAGAGCTGCTGTAGAGAGCGCTGTAGAGAGCGAGAGCGTGAGAGGAAGGGGGAACAGAGAGCGAGCGTACTTTCCTACCTTATTGTCCCCATATGGTGAAAGCAGACACACCATATCACAATGCATGGTTGCATGTGAAATTTGCCACAGAGTAGAGACTCTGCGACATATCCTTATGTTTTATGCCTTTATTCATTCTGTTTTTCATAACATGTATTGGAAATTTTCTATGTGACAAACTTATGAAAGCATTCAGTGCTTTAACTCATATAATTTGAATAACAACCTTAGAAGATGCGTAGCATAATTTTCCTTATTTTCGATGAAGAAGTGGAAGCCCAGAGAAGTTAATACTTACCCAAGATTACATGAGCGGTAAAGGCAGAAGTGGCCATTGCATTGAAGCAGTCTGTCCAGAGCCCGTAGGAAAGAGTTAACCTCAATGCTACAATGAGGAAATCTCTGGGAGGAAAAAGCATGTCACAATTCACAGAGTTCCAGCATCAGAGAGCACAATGGAAAAAAAAAAAAAAGAATGGAGTGACATGGAATGACCTCATTTGTCTAGTAGAGTGTGGATACAAATTGGTCAGTAGGGGATAGTACGCACTATCCGATATTCTAATCGATTTATCCTCCAAGTCACTCAACATCATCATACACCTGCCAATTTTTAAGCAACAAAGGGCAGACTTTCTGAAGAAAACTTGGATGGTTAGATAATTGAACTCTTGATTCTCTGTTAGGCTTCCATGACGTGATTACATTTTTACAAAAGCCAGAAATAGAATCAATAACTTTCCTGAGAGCAAAGTGTTTGCCTTGCCATTGTTCCCACAAATATCTTTACAACTTCCTTGTTTGATATCCTGTAATTCATTTTCAGCATGCTATGAGCAGACCCACTTGAGCTGTTACCTTGAGAAGAGTTAGAGATCCGAGGGCGAGAGAGAGCATTGACTCTGGTGGTTTTTCCTGAGTAGGAAGTAAATTATATTTATCAGAAGTTCACAGAGAGCTCCCTTTCCTGAACCAGGTGGGTGGGAAGGCTACTTTTTGGTATGGCCTCACCGGTTTCTGTCTATGCTGTAATTTTCCTCAAGAAGTTTCTATTTTTGAAAAGTCAAGTTTTCCAAAGTTTAACACTATTTTTACTCTCTTTTCAATTAACATGAGAGTTTTGAAAAAGTGATTTGAAACAGGTGCCTCAATCCAAGATCCAGGTCTGATCTCAGAATCATTTGCTTTCAAAAGGCATTTTTGATGACAGAGTATGTACTCCATAGTGAAAAAGGCACATTACAAATACACCTCCCATTCAATCAAGGGCTTTAAAAAAAAGGTTTTTTAATCCTCACCTGAGACATTTTTTCATTGCTTTTAGAGGGAGAGGAAGTGGGGGGTGAAAGAGAGAGAAGCATCTATCAGTTGCCTTCCGTGTGTGCCTGAAACGGGGATCATTGTGCCCAGACCTGGGATTGAACCCTCCACCTAGGTATGTGCCCTGACTAGGAGTCAAACAAACCCACAACCTTTTGGTGATGGAAAAACACTCCAACCAACTGAGCCACACCAGCCAGGGCTCAAGGACCTTGTGATCTGATACTGTTAGCGTTAATGTGGGGGTCTGTGCCATCCACAGATTAATATCCTAAAGGATATGTTGACTTGGGCAGGGCTGAGGAAGCAGATTCCCTGACAGTGCTGGCGGGAGGGAAAAAATAGCATGTAAATTCAAATGCTGACTTATAGCATAAAAAGAAAAATGGAGTGGAAAGAACCAGGATTCTCAGAAGATTATTCTTGAAAATGACTCAGCAATATATGCCTTACTTTTAGTTTATTTTCCCTTGACCAAATGTGCCTAACATTCAAGGGGTAGAAAGGATTTGTTTTTCTTAAAATTTTTTACTGTTTTTTTTTTTTAATGTTTTATTGTTGTCCTATTTTTCCCCCATTACTCTCCCCTGGCCTGTCCACTCCCTCCTCCCATAATCAATCCTTCTCCCTCCTCGTTGACCTTGTCCATGTGTCCTTTACATACGTGTTCCTTTGCTCTTCCCCTTCTTTCCCCCATTATTCCCCCCTCCCCCAGTCATTGTCAGTTTGTTCTTTATTTCCATGTCTCTATTTCTATTTTGCTTGCTTGTTTTGTTGGTTAGCTTCCACTTATAGGTGAGATTATATGGTATTTGTCTTTCACTACCTGTCTTATTTCACTTATCCTAATATTCTAGTTCCATCCTTCTTTCTTCCTGCTGTGTACTATTCCGTTGTATAAATGTACCAGTTTTTTGATCCACTCATTTGCTGATAGGCATTTAGGCTGTTTCCTGCACTTGGCTATTGTAAATAATGCTACTTTGAGTATGGGGTGCATAGGTTCTTTTGAATTGGTGTTTCAGGATTCTTAGGGTATAATCTCAGCAGAAGACTCCATACAGTTTTCCACAGTGGCTGCACCAGTCTGCATTCCCAACAGTGCGCTGAGGTTCCCTTTTCTCCACAGCCTCGCCAGCACCTGTTGTTTGTTCATTTGTTTATGATGGCCATTCTGACTGGTGGTAAGTGGTATCTCATTGTCGTTTTAATTAGCATCTCTCTGATGGCTAGTGATGTTGAGTATCTTGTCATATGACGATGGTTCCTCCTGGGAGAAGTGTCTGTTCAGGTCCTTTGCTCATTTTTTTTAATTGGATTGTTTGTCTTCCTGGTGTGGAGTCATGTGAGTTCTCTATATATTTTGGAGATCAAACCCTTGTCTGAGGTGTCATTGGCAAATATATTTTCCCATACAGTTGGTTCCCTTTTCATTTTGCTGATGTTATCTTTATCTATGCAGAAGAAAAAAAAAGAAGTTTCTTTTTTACTTAATATATTTCCATTTGTTTATTGCTTCTTTTATATCCCTTGCTCTAGGAGATGTATTGGTGAAAATATTGCTGCATGGGATATCTGAAATTTTTCTGCCTATATTCTCCTCCAGGACTTTTATGGTGTTGTGACTTATATTTAAGTCTTTTATCCATCATGAGTTTGTTTTGTGAATGGTGTAAGTTGGTCGAGTTTCATTTTTTTGCATGTAGCTGTCCAGTTCTCCCAACACCATTTGTTGAAGGGGCTATTTTTATTCCATTTTATGCTCCTGCCCCATTTGTTGAACATTAATTGGCCATAGAGACATGGGTTTATTTCTGGGTTCTTTATTCTGTTCCATTGATCTATGTGTCTGTTCTTATGCCAGTACCAGACTGTTTTGATTACAGTAACCTTGTAATATAATTTGATATCAGATAATGTGATCTCTCCTACTTTGTTTTTCTTTCTCAGAATTGCTGAGACTATTCTAGGTCATTTATGGTTCCATATAAATTTTTGAAATGTTTGTTCTATATCTGTGAAATATGTCATTAGTATTTTAATAGAGATTGCATTGAATCTATAAATTGCTTTGGGTAGTATGGACACTTTAATGATGTCAATCATTCTAATCCCTGAACACAACATATGCTTCCATTTATTTGTCTCTTCTGTAATTTCTTTCTTCAGTGTTCTGTAGTTTTCTGAATATAGGTCTTATACCTCCTTGGTAAGGTTATTTTACTGTTTAAAAAAAATAATGTATTATTAGTCCAAGGTATATAACAGTGATTTCATATATGTATGTATTGTGAAATGATTAACACAGTAAGTTAGTTCCCATAGTTACAATTTTTTTCTTGTGATGAGCACTTTTAAGATTTACTCTCCCAAAATCAAAGAAAAAAGATTTACTTTTCTAGCAACTTTCAAAAATACACTTATATTCAATATAGTCACCATGCTGTGTATTATATATAACTGAAAAGCTTTACCTTTTAACGGGAAGTTTTCACTTTTAGACCGCGTTCATCCATATTCCCCACTCTTCCGCTCCCCACTGCTGGCAACCACCAATCTGTTTTCTGTATCTATCATATCAGTTTTCTTTTAAAGATTTTACTTATAAGTGAGATCATATAGTATTTATCTTTCTCTCTCTGCCTTATTTCACTTGGTATAATGCCCTCAGATCCATCCATGTTGTTTTAAATGGCAAGATTTTTTTCTTTTTTTCTGGCTGAATAATATTCCATTGTAGGTTATGTGTGCGTGTGTGTGTGTGTGTGTGTGTGTGTGTGTGTGTGTGTCTATATAATGGATACTTAGGTTGTTTCCATGCCTTGGCTATTGTAAATAATGGTTCAATGAACACAGGCATGCAGATATATTTTTGAGATAGTAATTTCATTTTCTTTGGATTATTTTTTAATTGTGGTAAAATACCTATAACATCAAATTTACCATTTTAACCATTTTTAAGTGTACAGTTCAATGGTTATTTTCCTCTTAAAGTACTTAAAGGTATATAGACATTTTAAAAAACATAGAATATATTTTATTTTTTGTGTATAACTTCCCTAACTCTCTATATATCCTAACTATATAGAATATACCTAATACATGGAAAATTGATATGTCATGTTATAAAATCTTATGGCAGTTTTATTTGACTATAACACAAATCAAGTGGTGGATTTTTCCCTGTATTTCTAGGTTTGATATCTGGAAGTAAAATTTAAAAAATATTTCCCTTTCCCTTTTGGAGAATAAAGATGTTTTTAAAAGTCTATTTGCACAAAAATTGATTGAAATTAGGCTGTGCCAAAATAGAGAATTAACATTTAAGATGTGTTTTGTGAACAGTCTGGACAGAGAACATGGTAGGTCTATGGAAACCTCTTGGGTGGTTGAAGAAAAGTCAGAAAACAGGTGTGGACAGTGAGTTGGGGCCAAAACCAGGCTCTCTGGGACAATGCTTTAACTTTCCTCTTTGAAAAACTCAAATTTTTATGTTCAAGTAGAAACTCAGTCATTCAGTCTAAACATCATTGTCATTCTGGAAGGTGGGTGTCCATTGAACATTTGAAAAGGGCCTAGAGTGAGCCTGTTGATGGGTCAGTTGTGACCACATTTGGGGCTAATGGCACACTTTCTGCCCAGACTGGGTATAGGTGCTGCCTTCTTGCTGAAATGGCTAGGGTGGCGGGGGCAGGACTTGATTTGAGGTCGTCTTTGCATTGCAAGAGGAGTGTTCTTACTTAGATTTATGTGTTTGTTTGGGGTGGCGTGGCAGGGACAAATAGACATTGAGGAGCAAGGCGCGTAAAAACTGCAAGCCACCCTTGGCACCTTCATGTACTTTTATACGCACCTTATCAAATAACCTTCACCTCAAACTTTCACAGCAAGAATCATTATGCTCATTTTACAGATCAGAAATTGAGGTTTTAAAGTAAGGTCCCAGACCCCAGTGGTGGAGTCAAGATTTTTTTTTATCCAGGTCAGCCAGACTCCCAAGCCCACCCGACCCCACTCTGCCACCTCTAAGGCAGATGTCACTCTGTCCTTGTCCCACATGCCCAGGCTTGCAGTGGAACATTTACTTCATCATGGGGGAAGGCTTTTCTCTTGGTAATTGTGTGTAAGCAGCCGCATTTTCCAGGGACGGGGTGGGTACATCTGTGACAACAGGTGGCTTTGAATAGCCCTGAGTGCGCGAGTGCTCGGATCACGGTGTGGACAGACTCGGACTCACGTGGGGTAACGCACACGTGTGCCTTTCTCTCTAGGAGTTAGCTGTCCCAGTGGTTCATGACGGCGGCGCCCTTTTGGCTTTTGTCTGCGGTGTGGTGTACACGCTCCTGCAATCCATCATCTCTTACAAGTCGTGTCCCCAGTGGAACAGCCTCTCCACGTGCCACGTACGGATGACCATCTCTGCCATTTCCTGTGCAGCTGTCATCCCCAGTATCCTTTCCGCATTTGCCAGTGTCCTTAGAAGCTTGACACTTTCCTCTGCCCTCCACCCAGAAAAAAAAAAAGCGTGAAAAAAGCAAAGGTTAACAGCCCAGTTTCCATATGCTTCAGAAGACCCATTGGGAGAAAAGTGTAAATCATTAAGAAAATGATTAATGAATTAAAAAATCATTAAGAAATGGGGTCAGGTTAGATCAAAAGAATCTTCGGGGAAAAGAATGTTATGAAAGGAGGATGGAAAAAATGTCGGAAAACTTCAGTCTTTGTTTACTTTCCTTCCAACAGGGTCGGCTTCACCAGCCATGGGAAAATATTTGTTTTTCTTTGGAGTGCTTGGCTAAAGACACCAAATATTGATATTGTACTTAAAGTAATAGCCCTGTGAAGTCCCAAGACGTCAGACTCTCCCCACTCCCTGCACATAGGTGAATAGATGGTTTGATTTCCTCATCCACATTAAGAGGTTTTTAAAAGCTCTATATTATATACTTCTCATTCAATTAAAACACATGTAGCCTTTTCTTTTGATTACTGATTTCACTTTCAAAAATTTATTTCGTTTTCTCATTCAGCAGCATGGGAAGAAATATGAATTTATCAGACTTGTGTGTTCTAATTTAGAGGAAATGAAAGTTTGCTCTCTTTCTCTCTTGGGATTTAACAAATAACATAAAAAAGCTGTGGTCTTCAAGGGGTGGAAAATTCCCCATATTTCGAAATACCCTCTGTACTCATATCAGAGAAAGATACAGGGTCATTAAAAAATGGTGATTACTCTCATGTTACAGGAAAATGGGAACTATTCTATTAGCCATTTTGTTAGTCTGGGTTGGATAGTGGTATAAAGTGCGAAAGCCTGAGTGATGGCATATCATGTGCTTCTGACATTGAACTTTGCATTATTCTTTTAAAATAGAAGCTATAGGAAATGTGAAGTCTGTGTACGGTTTTGGGTTTGGTTTTGTTTTCATCTTAGGGAAGGAATTTCTTAATTACAAAATTTTTAAGCACGGAGGAAATAAACCCTAGTATTGAGAAATTTAACAACAAAGTATATACCCTGGTTCCTTATATAGTTCTTTCTGAGTTTTCTGGTCATACTTGTGGACTGAAGACATTCGTGCTTTCTCTTCAAATATATTTCCTTCAGACCTTTAGCTTGTTTTAGTTGTAAAATTCAGAGCAGAAGTGTTTGTAGTGTTAAAGGCAAGGTTTCTTGTTGTAGGAAACATTTTCTTGCTTCCAACTCTGGAGATAGGTCTCTAAATATTAAAATCAGACAGAGTGTTAGTACAATTTGCATTTCAGGCCTGAGTCTCACATACTATTAGTTCCCATTTCTAGAGGGTTCCACGAGCCTTGCCAAGGGGTTGCAGCCCTACACAGAAACAGGGTATGTCCCTGTATCGCATTAATTCATCCATATGAAAACATCTGTTGCCTTAAACACTAGCATAGTATTTATATTTACTTACCAATATTTCAAAAATGCTTGTTCTTCTCTTTATGGTAATATTTCTGTGTAATGGCCTCATTTAACTGCTGAAGAAACCGAGGCACGTTAGAATTAGGCTTCTAAGCCCTTCCTGGTAAACTATTTGTCTTGCACCGGTTTCAACAGCATTACCTTCACAAAATAACAGCACAAAGTCCAGGTTCTTTGGCTTGTGACACATGCTCTAAGACTCCCCCAGACTTGGCTGTTTCCTGTCCTCTGCTTTTACCCCCTGCCCTTCTCCTGGCTAAATATTACCTTCCACCTTGTCTTTCTAGCCAATATGATAGCTACAGGCCACATGTGACTATTGTGCACTTGAAATGTGGCTAGTCTGCAGAGACATGCTGTGGTGTAATTTATCTCATTAATAATTCTTTATATTATTACATGTTGAAATGATGACATTTTTAATCTTTTGTGTTAAAGGAGCTGTATTATTAAAATTAATTTTTTTGCTTCTTTTCTTAAAATGTGGCTGTTAGTGATAAAATGGCACCAGAATGTTACCAACAATTGGATCTTGGTTCAGCAACCGGATCTTGGTTCAGCAACCTCAGTACTTGAGTTCTGGCTAAGTAAGAATTCAGAGTCATGACTCAAATACAAACAAAAGTTTATTTGGAAAGTTACAGAAGTAGAAGCGAGCCAGCTGGGCTGAGTAGACTCAGGAAACAAGTTACGGAGGCAAAAGAAGGGCCCTTGGAATTTAGGGAAACGAAAGACAGAGAGAGTTCACCTGGGGAAAGGAGGGGTGGAAAGACACGGTGTGCTCCAGGGGGAAGGAGGGAGGAAGGGAGGGAAACAGGTGGCGGGGAGAGGGAGAAACAGAGAGAGAGGGAGAGCTGGGTCCTCAGTCCTAAAGGTTTTTATCCTCTCTGTAAAGGCAAAGATCTTAGGGGAGGCTCCAGGGGAGGATTTCGATAGACTATTCCTAAGCTTTGCTAGGTGTGTCCTTCCAGGGTTGTGGTCTCTGCCTGTTGGTCAGTGCTAGGGTACGGGATCATTAGTCATCACAGCTGGTCCTTTGATGCCCCTCCTGGCCTTGCCACTATTCTGGGCCTGGAGCTGAAACACAGCTGAGGCCTCTTGTTTGACCAAAACTCTGTCTCTGTGGTCAACAGATCCAAGGCTCTGCTTCATTTGATGTGAGTCAGCACCTCATTGTCCTAAGCACATAATGCTTAAGGGAGTGGTCGTGCAAGGGAGTCATATGAGGCTATTCACTGGCCCCCTTGTTCCTCCTCTAAGGGGTTCTACCCCACATGGCGAGTGACATGTCAGGGGAGGAGAGGTCAGAGGAGGGTCCGAACTGCATGACCAGTGATACGAAAAGTAACAGGCTCTAAATCATATGACCAGCGATATGCTAGGGGAGGAAAGGTCACCCAGAGGGTGAGATCCTTGTTTTCCCAGTTTTTCTTGTTGCTAGGTGCCCAGGGCTTTCCGTCCTGGTGACATTCCATACCTGGCCTATTGTTCCCACTCTGCTCAAGCCTGTCTAACTGCCACTACACAGCTACTATAGCAGGAAATTTAACATTACTCATGTGGCTAGCATTATATTTCTGACAGCTTTGCTCTAGAGGACTCCTCAAACTTCGTAACTTAGATTAAGCTCAACTCAGTGAAGGCCTCCCTTATACCCCAAACCCCTTTCCACTCTGAATTAACACTTTTTCCTCTGCCACATCACTGTGCCCTGCTCTTCCCTCTCACATGGACAGTCCTGGGCTTCCTCTGGCAAGACTGTGATGTTTCTGGAAGCTGAGACCCAGTCTTTTTGGCTGGGGTTTCCCCTGCCTCTTCCTTCACCCCTTGTAACATGGCAGAACATGGAACTAAAAAACAAATTAATGAAAGAATTAAAGAGGCTTTAAAACTATTAGAAACAGAAGTGTGATCACAGAAGGACCAGAGAACCTGCTATGCTTTCTACTTCTTTTATTCTGAAAAACTGAGAAGTGTTGAGCCCTGCAAAATAGGGAGTTCGGTGATAGGGAGTGGACAGGCAGAGAAGATGCCGACTCCGAATTCACAGGAGGCTGTGAACTTGGCATTGATGCCACACTTTGCATTTCTGAGTTTTTGTAAAACCTTTTTTAGAGCATCTCATTTCTCTCAAACTTTCTCTTTTGCCTTCAGAGTTCAATCAAAGTGGGAGTCATTGCCTTTATGCAGACAGACCGTCCACAGACGGCAACAGACTCAAGTCCCTGGTGTTGCTATGCTGGCCACAAGGTCAGATGTAGGACGTATCTCTTCCATTTGCAAAGCCCTTTGGGCTTGGGAGGAAGGGTTCAGCTTATATCCAATTACTTGACAGAAATCTGTTTTTTAATTTCTGTAGCTTGTTTTTTGTATATGAGCCTTGATACTTTCTAATGCTTTGGTACTTTGAAACGTTATTTTTTCCTTAAAGCTGTTGCCTTGAAAATAGTATTTTAGAGGAAAAAAACTTTTTATTCAGTATTTTTATTTAAGCAAAGCAGTATTTGGGGGAAAATGTACTCAAACATGAGGTGCTGACCCACACTTAGATTGCTGTATCTGTCATTTTGATCAAATCTGAGCAAGCAGTGTAACTGGGAACAACACCAAGGCACATGCAGGGTTGAGCAAAATGTGACCACAAATTGAAATTTCGCTCTACATAATTGAAAAAGTATTTGCTAAGAAATAACTATATTTCCGCATTGTAATTTAACTTCTGTCATAATTGAATTCAAGGTTTGAGATTTTAAGAAGCTGATATAATCTGTTTTGATGGCAGAAATGTTGGTATTAACTTTTATTAGTTATGTTAGAGTACATAACATAAAACTTATCAACTTAATCATTTTTAAGTGTGTAGTTCAGAGGTGTTAAATACACATTGTTGTGCAACCATCACCACACCATTCCATAATTTATTCATCTTATAAAACAAAATATGATTTATTAAGTGGAATTCCCTATTGTCTTCCCCCCATCCAGAGCCACTATTCTACTGTCTTTATGGCTTTGACTCCTCTAAGTACCTCCTAGAAATAGAAATACATAGTACCTGTGTTTTTGTAACCGGCTTATTACACTTACCATAGTGTCCTCAGGATTCATCAATGTTGTAGCATATTGCAGAATTTCCTTCCTTTTTAAGGCTGAGTAATATTCCACTGCATGTATGTATATAGCACATTTTGCTTGTCCACTCATCTGTCAGAAAACACTTGGGTTGCTTCTAAGTTTTAGCTATTGTGAATAATGCTGCTATGTACACAGATACACAAATACCTCTTTGAAACTTTGTTTTCAGTTCTTTTGGGAATATACCTCAAAGTGGAATTGCTGGGTCACATGGTGGTTCTGGTTTTAATTTTTTGAGGAGCCTCTGCACTGTTTTCCGCGATGGCTGCCCATTTTACATTCCTACCAACAGCGCACAAAGCTTCCAATTTCTTCACACCCTCACCGACACTTGTTTTCTGTTTTCTCAATAGTAGCCATCCTAATGGGTATGAGGTGAAACATTTTAACACTGTGCAATTATTATATTATTGGAAGAATAATGTAGTCTTAACATTAAAGGACGTATTTTCTTCTGTACTTTCCTTAACAATTTCCTTTTTTTAGTGATTGTCTGTGCTTCCCTCATTTCCATAACCAAGCTGGAGTGGAATCCAAAAGAAAAGGTAAAATTTAAGTCATTTTCAATATGATTGTCAAACCTGGTTACATGAGGCTGTGGCTGGGTGAACTTCTAAGAAAGGATTACTGTCGTTTCTTAGAACAAGTTGCAAATATATGAAGTAAAATATGGCATATAATTAACTTTCCAATTATTTGGCAATTCACGTGTCATAATTAGCTATTGGGTTATTCCAAATGCTTCCTGGGATTAATTTCAAAATTTTGAATTCCTACTCTCTCTTAAAAACTTCCTTAATGATTAGTAAAAGAGAAGGGTAGGGGAGCAATGTGAATGAAGATGTATGGAAACCGCAGGCATCATGGGCTGTGAACCAGGGTGGACGAGACCAGCTTCCGTGTAAGTGGATAACTCATTTCAGGATAGAATGAGACATAAATGGGGCCAGGGATACATTTTTGAGGAATAGTTCACCCACAGCTTTAAGAGGTTGTCAGAGAGAGGGGCTCATGCTTGAGTTAGGTGACCAGAGTAAGCCTCTGAGGGCTTTTGAACAGGGAAATAAATGGAAAGAATATTAGTGGGTGAATATTCGTGAGAAGCAATGCCTGGGATTACTGTGGCTGGTGTGCCTCAGTGGACTGAAGGCAGGCCTGCGAACAGAAAGATTGCTGGTTCGATTCCTAGCCAGGGCACATGTCTGGGTGGTGGGCCAAGTCCCCAGCTGGGGGCGTGAGAGAGGCAGCTGATTGATGTTTCTCTCCCTCTCTTTTTCCTTTCCTTTCTCTCTAAAAATACGTATGTATGTACGTACATACCTACATACATATACAAATAAGAAAAAGCAATGGCTGGGACGGATTGAAGAGGAGAGAGCCCAGAGTGGGGATGGCAGAGGAGGCAGTTTAGATTTCAAATCAAGATCAACCTCGACTGCCTGGAAGTAATAGGGAGAAAATATTTGACGATCACTGGCATGTGGCTAACATGAGAATGAAAGGACGTGATAAGTCAAGGGTGACTTTTTGGGTGACCTGAAGAATTGGTTCCCATGAACAGGGAGGAACAAGGTCCCTAACACGGATAACTTATTTCATGGGGGGACATGGATGGGTTTGATTTTAGAATTGTTGAATCTGGGGCTATAGTAAAACATCAAGGAGAAATGTCCAGTCAGACACGTGGGGCTAGACATTCTGGTGGATTGAGAGCCATCAGAGCATAGAGTAGGGTGGATGGAGAGCCATCGGAGCATGGAGTAGGGTGGATGGAGAGCCATCGGAGCATGGAGTAGGGTGGATGGAGAGCCATCGGAGCATGGAGTAGGGTGGATGGAGAGCCATCGGAGCATGGAGTTGAGCCATCGGAGCATGGGGGAGAGCCATCGGAGCATGGAGTAGGGTGGATGGAGAGCCATCGGAGCATGGAGTTGGGTGGATGGAGAGCCATCGGAGCATGGAGTAGGGTGGATGGAGAGCCATCGGAGCATGGAGTTGGGTGGATGGAGAGCCATCGGAGCATGGAGTTGGGTGGATGGAGAGCCATCGGAGCATGGAGTAGGTCACCCGGTCATTTCCAGACCAAAGACAACAACACCTGGGACTGATTGGGTTTGCTAGGATCCCTGTCATCAGATAATCACAGTGGTTCATGTCGATGCCATACAGACAATGGATGACACCTCAGGAGAGAAGAGTTAGTGGGAGAACAAGAAGGAGCAGTTTTTTTTCCTTTTTCTTTTTTTAAGGAATGTTCTTTGCAAGGAGCAGGTGAAGTTAAGGATGGTATTCATACAGCAGTTTCAGTTAGAAATGTTGGAGTTAAAAGCTAATTGCAGGGGGTTAACAAAATGTAAGAGGACTGGTTCATTCATTCAGCAGTCACCGAATGTTGGGAGGCAAAAGGAAGAGGAGAAATAAGATGAAGGCTATAGGGGATAGTGTGGTCAGAGAAGGATTCTACCGGGAGCCTACAGGGGACAAGGGGGAGACTGCAGATGTTGAAGAAGAGACCGACTCAGGCAGAAGTTCAAAAAAAAGTGCTTCCTGACAGAGAGACCTCACAGCGGATCAGCCTCGGGTGTATTTTACTTTTCAACCACTGTGGGGAGACCTTTCCCCACAAATCAAACAAAAATCAGCTGCTGGGAAGGCTTCATCAAAGCATAGTCCCAGGCAATTAAAATCTGCCCCCCGCCCCTGCCGCCCCATTTCACTTTTAATCTTAAAATCTGAAAAGTACCTGGTTTTCTAGTCATTTCATAAACTACCATGCCACTCTTGGGTTACTTCTGTTCCCAATATCCATAAATATAAATAGAATCTTTTGCATTAATTCACCGAGTGGAATAAGCAGTTAGGTACTGCCTCAGGCTGCCGTGTGCGGCCTCAGAGATGTCACGACGCGGGCCCCTGCAGGGACTGACCTGGTAGGGAGGGCGGGAATGACAGTGTCATTGTCTCGTTTTACGTAGCAAGGGGATTAGAGCTTTGCTTGCATTCGCTCAGGGGTAGTGGAGGAGTCTGGGCTTCTGGCTCAGTGCACTTTTGTTAATACCATGCTAAAGAAATTTCTGCCAAAATTTCATAAGCCACCTTCCTTGTCCCCAGGGTGATAAGGGGATGGGGCAGATCCCCTGGTGCTGTCACCAAAGGAGGGCCCTTCTGTTCTCTAACCCCTAATGTGAGCAGGTCAGGCTCTCCCCAGGGGGACCTGGATGAGAAGAATGGCTGGCTGGTCACGTGGGGTAGTGACGAGAGGTGTCTCCGAGTTTGATGTGCTGCAGTTAATCTTTGCGGATGAAACCTGGATCCAGGAAAACAGCTGTCACCATAGAACTGACTTGCAATCCAGCACATTTTGTTTGTTCATACTTGTAATCAGTGGCAGAGCAGAAAGCAAAACAGGAAAAAAACACAAAACAGGTCATCATTGGAAATCAGGCCTGGCTGTCCACAGGCCTAATTTGGCACATGCATAGTGTCAAGATGCAGGCGTTAGTTTAGTTTATTACTTAGAAGGTGTTTAAAAATGCTTTTTAAAAAGTAGTTTCCAACATTAAAAACTCAGGAGAACGTGCGCACACACACATTTTGGTTTTACTTTGGAAAAAAGAACAAGGGTATCATGTTTCCCCATTTGGTAAAAATGGAATTGAGTTGATAAATGTGAGCTCCCCATTTCCTGCCCTTTTTGCAACAGTCAGTTTCATTTATTTTTATTAATCTCCTGGCCTCCACAGGCAGCTGACTTTGGAACCCCAATTACAGCCATTCTCATTCTTGACACCCATTCTCTCCTTCCTGCCTCCAAGAAGATAGTCAGTGAATGCATATGGATGTCCCATTAGCACTTGCTTTGTAGCTATGTTTACATATAATGTTAAGCAGGACTATTCGCTGAACTGACATTTTTTGTAGCAACAGATAACACAGACCCCAGTGGTGACAGTTAACCTACTTTTCTAGATACACACACGCAGTCTTTGCCAAAACTGCACAAACTCTGAATGCCTTTCAACCTGGGGGTTCCCAGCCTCCAGGGAGCAGGTCCTGCTTTGTATGGAAAGTTCTGTCTTCTGTTGGGTCCACATTTGCTTCACAGTCTCAGCCATTTCGTGGTCCTTATTCTGCTTTTTTGAAACTATACAGACAAGTCTTTTTTTTTCTTTTTTTTTTAAGATTTCATTTATTTATTTTTTGAGAGAGGGGAAGGGAGGGAGAAAGAGAAGGAGAGAAACATTGATGTGAGAAAGTTACATCGATGTGACGAAGAATCATCGGTTCCCTCTCGAACGCACCTGAACCAATAATCAAACCGGCTACCTTTCACTTTGCAGGGTGACACCCAGCCAACTGAGCCACACTGGTGAGGGCTGTAGACAAGTCTGGATGCCAGAGCATGTGAGAGCTAGAAAGTACTTTGGGGATAATTGCATCCACATTCTCACTGGGCAGGTGCCTTGCTTCTTGCTGTATTTCCTTGAGGGGTTGATTGATGCTCACCAGACAGCTTTTTCCTCTGGTCTGACCTTCTTATCATTATTTCAGTACATCCACTAAAGAGACTCAGTGGAGGCTAAATTGGTTTTCTTTCTGATCGCCGTCAGGATTATGCGTATCACGTAGTGAGTGCGATCTGCGAGTGGACAGTGGCCTTTGGTTTTATTTTCTACTTCCTAACATTCATCCATGATTTCCAGGTAGGTATTTATCAGTTTAAATGCTCTAAATTGCTGACAATTAAAGTTAGAAAAATCCATGGAAAATTTCTTGCATAAAAAAATAAGAGCTCAATTTTTCTTTTACCATTATGTGTTTGAAAAAACATACATGTTGTGCAACTTAATTCATTCCCAAAGCCAAACAGCTTGAACTGCTCTTCAACCAATGACATTTTCATATGTCCTCTGCCATTTGATGCTTATAGTTGTACATCCTGGTTATTTTCTTTTCAAGGTGGTCTCACTTCCTAGTTTCCAATAATAGGAAATATGTCTTTTAAAAAAAAATGAAAGTATATTGTTGAAAAAAAAGTGCCCAAAGCAGACAGAAAGTGGAACCTTTTCAGGTTTGGCCACAGGTAAAATCTTGCATTTTGAAACAAGTGAATTGGAATTAGTTAAAATGATATAGAAAGCCAAGAAAGTTCTTGAGGACCCAACTGAAGCTCAGCACAAACCATAGTAAGGTCCTGTCTTGGGGGCTGCAAAGCTTCTGGGAGTTTCATAGCTGGTACTGGAATTATTTACCTTCTTTGAAACCTTTCTTTTTTTTAATAGAGTGTCACTCTAAGGATTTCCACAGAAATCAACGATGACATTTGAAGAGAGAAGAATTCTATTTTAGTCATTGAAAGTTACAGACGGTTTCTAGAAGTGGCACAGGGGACGGACAGGGTTTGAATGCTGCCCTGTCGCAGGCATCTGCAGCACATCCAGGACTTGAATTTCACTAAGAATTTCCAATAGTTGTATATTTCCAAAGGTATGTTTTCCTAGAGAATGTAGAGCATTTATGACAGTGTAGCAATGTTTTTATAATTTTCTAAACTGACACTTTTTTATATTCACAAATTCATTGCACAAAAGAATAAGGTGTTTTGGAAAAATGGAGAGCTCTTATTTTTGTACAGATTCTGTTTTGTTGTTTCTTCATATGTGAATGGTTTCTGGATATACACTAAGTGAGGGATTTATTAACAAGTAAAATTGGGATATTTTTAAATCTCATTTTCAGGGAATGAACTGTATACTTCTATATCATGAGAGCATTTGTAAAATTCAATTTATAGTGACATCAAGATTTAGTTAATAAATTAACGCTAACTATGACACTCTGATTTTTAGATGAACTAGGCAAAATGCTTCTGTTGAAAAGCCTTAATATCACTATACACATTAACTCTAAGTGAACACAGCAGACCTCAGTTTGCCTGCTCACAGGAGCTGGAGGTTTTTCCATTGCTGCTGATCAGCAGTCTGTAGTAGGCATTTGTGGAAGGCAGGATTATGGGAAGGGGACTTTAACTTAATACTAAACTTCTGCAAAGTAGGTGCTTAATAAATACCGCAACCTGTGAAAAATCATTAAAAATACCATTTATAAAACCACCCTGTGTTGTTACTGGCATAACTTGATATATGGTCAGGCTCAGAGGCTGGAACTCACATCTTGCATTCACGTCATGCTAGTAAACACGCTGAAGAGAACATAGGTCCCAGAGAGAGGGAAAAGGGGAGCCGCCGAGGGCAGTTCATTTTCTGCTTGTACGCCTGAGGCTGGATGTTTGCCCATCACATGCAATGCCAGTCAGGTCTTTTGTTAAGCAAGACCTACATACACCACCTTTTTGCCCGAATCACGAATGGCAAATGAAGAGCAAGTCATTCCAGCAGAAGCAGTGTGCCTTGCAATGTTAACGCTTGCATTGAAAAATGAAAAGAAAAAAACGCTCCTTTGTGGATCCACCAGACACAAACATGTGCCTGGCCAAGGGGGTCCACACGTTGAGGGCTCACACCAAGAGCAGAGCGGCCCTCTTGGGCAGCCTCGCGGGGGACCTGGGCGTGGTGAGCCCACAGTGGCTCCCCAGTAACTACTTGTTAAGCGAGTGAAGGGCGAGACTCAGCAGCGCCCAGCCACCTCTGCAATGACAAACTGTGTGTCCCCCTGAGTGCCCAGCAGAGGGAACCTGATAACTGTTTCTGGATCTGTTGTAACTTGTCATATGCTGTGGATCCCCATTGTCACCCTGGAACTGAAAGACTGATCAAAGCCACGTCAAGCAGTTGTTATTCTGAAGAGGAGGAGAATGACACATACTTTTACTGCGGAGACTGTAGTGGAATGCGTTCCTGGTTGGTCTCACTTGGAACAGACTTGTTATCAGCACTTCTCATAATGCACTGTTGTCCTCATTTCCATGTCTCTCTGAGAGATATAAGATTAGGAGCTCTTTGAGGACAGAGTGTGTGCCTTAATCTTTATCTTTATCTTTATAACTCCAGCATTTAATCGGGTATCTCCTGGTACACAGTTGGTGCTTACTAAATATTCACTGATTGCATGAATGAATGAGTGAACAAATAAAGGAATGACTCAGGATATTTGTAGTGCTGACTAGTGAGATTTACTCTTGATTTACTAATGAAGTGGTAAACCAACAGTTCTTGACTGTTTTGTGTACTGTAAATGTTTCAGTTGTTTGAGCTTCACCATTCTCTGACAAGCTGGACAGTCACCACAGAAATTGTCACATGGGCTAGACAAAATGGTACACCTGGCTTGGCAAACTGAGAAGGCCAAAATTCACTTCAGACAATCATATTCTGCTGATTCCATACAACCTCTAAAGCTGGTCTGATCCACATTTTGGTCATTTCTAATTTCCAAGAACTTGCATTTACTTGGACCTCATATACTGAAAGAGTAAAATGAAATGAAGTATTTCTTTATTTTAGTACTGTGTGTCTGTTTTAAATTATAATATGTTGCCTGGGTACAAAAAAATGATGTGTATTTACCAGGGAAACAATTCTAGGCTCTATTGGATTTTGTAAAGGTATAGTTGAAACCTTATGTTTTCTTAATTCATATAGTTTTGCATGTGGGCACAATGGTTCATCTTTGTAGAAATTCATTTTATTATTTTATTGTTTTTTATTTGTTAATTACAGTTCACAGTCCATATTATTTTATATTAGTTTCAGATGTACACCGTAGTGGTTAGACAATTATGATTTCCACTATCATCCCAGTATCCACCTGGCACCTTTGTAGAGCTTCTTGAACATTAGTATCAGAAGTTTGCATCAGTCAAGACTCTTAGGGCTGAAATACAACTCAAATTTGTTAAAGGAAAAGGGGGCATCTATTCACTCAAGTAACAGAGGTCCAAGGATGGAACTTGCTCTAGGGATGGATGGATTCAGAAGTGCCACCAGGGCTCCATTTATTCTCTCACCTCGCCTCTGCTTTTCTCCCTGTTGGCATCGTTCTCAGGCAGGCTTTCCTCTGTCAGAATGAGATCCCAGGCCTACAACCTGCCCTGCAGAACAGGAGGACTTCTCAGTAGTTCCAACAACAGCCAGTGAGTTGAAACTCATTGTCTCTGATTGGCTGGCTTGAGTCACATGCCCTTCCGGGAGCCCTGGAGGGTAGGATGCTCTGAGTAGACAGACCTGTGCCACGCATCCACCTCTGGAGCAGGAGGGGTCAACACCACCCGAATTACTAGGCTGACGGTAGGTGAACGCTGTTTCTCAGAAGAAAGGTTTGGGAAATGGATCTTGGACAAACACAAAGCAAGACTCAGTTGTGGAATTAAAGTCTCCCTGCCCCCGCCCTACCTCCATATACCAGAGAAGCCTAATTTCTTTCAGTGTAAACCAATTTCTACTTGCTGACAAGTTTTTTAGGTTAAAAGAAAATGTAAGCCATGTAGGTAATAAACATGCCTTCAGTTAATTTCAGAGTTATGTTTATACTTTTTCAAGCCTCTTGTGTTCTTATTTAACCTCTGTAGGGTTGGTCAGGCTCTTAATGATCACATGTTTCAGATGAAGAAGACAAAGAGAAGTTCAATGACCTGCAAGAGAGTCTACTGCCAGATGGCAACAGATTCCAGTTGGGGAATCATTTTCCTGATTTCTAATCAAGTGGGTCTTTTTTTTTTAAACAAAGAGGATTTCACAGAAATGACATTTCATAAACCAAAATAAGTACATCATCGCTGTGCTGTGTTTGAGGTTCCTAACATGTGGCATTGTCCCATGTTCTATTTTTTAGTCAAGTGGAGACTTACTGGTCTGGTGTCTGGGCTGGGGTGAGGAAGAAGGAGTGGGAGGGAGGTAAGCGGTATCCCATTCTCTCTCACCCCTCGATTCTGGCAACCAGTAAGCCCAGCCGGCTCCCCACACACATACTCTTGGTCTGACTCTGAGTGCCCCACATTCTCAAGGCCAGAATGTCATGCATCTGTGTCCTGTCTGTTGCACAAGAGAGCAACCACAGCCTCTAGCCCTGCAGAAGCTCCTGGCTCTCCTGGGTCACCCCTAGCAGATTCATCCCCCTACCCTGAAGGGCAACAGGATGCCAAGCTCACATTGGAGGTGGGGTGGCAGTAACTTCCGCAATTCAATGCTTGGAAAATGCTGAAGAAAATATCAACAATATAGAAACACAGTGAACTCCTGTTATCTGGACTCACCGTGCTGGGGTGGAAAGAAAATTTCTACATAAGTGGGGACTCAACTGTTCCTATTTCCCCACTCCTGTATCATTTTTTCTTATTTAAAAATTTCAAATTAGTAATATTCACATAATTCAAAAAAAATACAAAAAGTTATTCTATGAAAAACCTTTGTATTTTTCTCTATTGACACTTACTCAGCTCGCTCCTCTCCTTGCAGATACCCACTTTTTATGAAAATACAAGCAGAGCCTGGCTGGTGTGGCTCAGTGGATTGAGCATTGGCCTGCAAACTGAAAGGTCGCTGGTTTGATTCCCAGTCAGGGCACATGCTTGGGTTGCGGGCCAGGTCCCTGGTTGGGGGCATGTGAGAGGCAACTGATCAATGTTTCTCTCACACATCGACGTTTCTCTCCCTCTCTTTCTCCTTCCCTTCCCCTCTCTTTAAAAATAAAAAAAAATAAAATAAAATCTAAGAAAAATTATTTAAAAAAATACAAGCGGAAACACACATTTAAAAATGTTTTCCCTTTAGGAAAGTGGTGGGGGGTAGGAAGAGACAAATGTATTTGAAAAAAAAAATGTTTTCCCTTTAACTTCTACCCTAAAAATAGCGTCCTGTAGTTCTGAGCTGCCTCCTCCTCCTTCTTCTTCTTCTTCTTCTTTTTTTTTTTTGACTAAACAATGCATCTTAGAGATGTTTCCTTGTCAATACATAGAGAGCTTCCTCATTTCTTGGTTCTGTTTTGAATCTGTACAGTATTCCATTGTAAGGCTGTGCCCTCATTTATTGATGTATAAAAACACAATGTTCTTAAAAACATAAGGATGTGTAAGTGATGTGGTAGCCTTTGAAAGAGCTACCCCAAAGAGAAAGTGGGTAGAAAAGGGACAAGATTTGGAAAGGTAGGGACAAAAGTATGAGATCATAATAAAAAGCCCAGTAGAGCTGGGCTTTTCTTACAGAAATCTTTCCAAGTATTTCACACTTTCTCCTAAACTGAGGATGCCAGCTATAAATTCACTTTTCCTTGGTGACTCTATTTGAAGAACAATCTTGTGGTTTCCAAACTTTTGCAATTACAAGTGGATGGATGACCTTGTACTTACATCATCACACATGTGCAAGGTCATCGGTGGGAGAAATTCCCGTAAGTGGGAAAGCTAGGACAAACGGGAACTGAATCTGTAATCTGACCAATGCTGTCTGTCATCCTGCCCTTAGAACCTTTTGACTTAAGTATTTTTTTGTTGGAAAATCTTTCCAACTATTTCAGACTTTCTTCTAAACCGAGGATGCCAACTATATGTTCACTTTTCCTTGGTGACTCTGGTTATAGAACACCTGGGGGAACCCGCAGGCCACTTGGCCCTCCCTGGCCTTGCAGGTTGGTGGTCTGTGCAGAAATGGCCCCATGAGTGGGGGATGCCAGCAGTGCAGGGCACACAGAGAAAGAGAGGAAACTCCAGCTTCGAGAAACTTAAAAACATTTAGAAATCATAGACTTTAATTTTGTTTCAATGTACCTTTTATGTAATTAAAAAAAATTAATAAACTTGACCTTTTAGAGCAGTCTTAGGTTCAGGGTAAAACTGAATGAAGTACTGACCGGGGTAGGTCAGCTGGTTGGGCATCGCCCTGCAAAGCAGAAGGTCGCTGGTTCTATTCCCAGTGAGGTCGCATGCCTGGGTTGCAGGTTCGGTCCTCAGTTGGGGATCATAGGAGAGGCAACATATCGATGTTTCTCTCTTGCATTGACGTTTCTCTCCCTCCCTCCCTCCTTCTTTCTCTAAAAATAAATAAAACCTTTAAAAAAACTCAGTGAAAAGTACAGAATTCCCTCACATCCCCTGACAGCACACATTTACAGCCTCCCCAAATACCCTCATCTCCCACCAGAGTCGGACATTTACTATAAT